AAAGTGATGTGGCGTTTTGAGAGAATCGACGTTTTCGAGAAAATCGGCTCCTGGGAGAACACGCGAAGAGGACACTACAGGTATCAATGCGAAAACAACGATTCGCCAGACGTGTCGATTCGCTAAAAATGCCGATTTTCTCGAAAACGTCGATTCTCTCAAAACGCCACATCACTTTCCTACACCTTCCTTTTCGCACACCTACATGTTCCTTTTCGATATTCACTCAAAACGACTTCCTCCTCAGCGCAAAGTATGATCGGAGCCTTGGACGGATAGTAAACCTAGGGTAGGGCAAACAACTACAATTCAACCTAGATAAATCAGCCAGATTAAATCACTCATGACGTCTGAGTAGTGATTCCCATCTTCAAAAGCGAGCATGGAAACCTTAGAAGTTAGTTTCGCGTACCTGCTACAGCTTTGAATGAATATTTTCCTCCTTCAGTCGTTGTCGCAGTATCCACGACTTTCCCACTCTGTCTGCTGTCAGGGAAAGCCCTGCTGGCCCGCTTCCCGTACCGCCGTTCACAACTCCACTAATGGAAAAACCTGAAAAGAGAAGCTATCGACTTCGCAGATAACTCAAAAACTACCTTCCTTACCTGTTAATGAGAAGTTGATATCTTCATTCTTAGTACAGGGATCATTCACGCCATCAAGCTTGAAGTCAACTGTTTCTGGTTCTGAAGCAAAACAAGCATTCCTTTAGACAGAATCATCTTCATAAGGCTGTGTAGCCTGATACTTACCGAAATACCATCCTTCTGGTGCAGATACTTTCAGAGAGTATTGGCCCTTATTATACACTGGAATCATATAGTAACCATTCCGTGGATTACATTCTTCTTCATGTTTGAGATGCCCTTCAGGAGTGAGGAGTTTTACCTGAATTCGAAGTGACCACCTCGTTTCATTATGTGATTTTAAGAGAGCGTTCGCAGACAACGCCACTGAAGAACCAAATAAAACGGTAAAGGACAAAGTCTCCGCCGTTAATCAATTCCTTTAATGCGGCACGCATTCTTCTTTGGCTGACTGGATGCGATGTGCGATGTGGCCTATACAACGACGGGGCCAGCCGATGTACGAAGTCAGTGTTTTATCCTCCCAGACGAATCTGGTACCAGTTTACCGTCCCCGGAGGAAAGAAGGCTTGGTTGGCCTGGGCGGGAGTCGACCCGGGATTTGAACCCGGGACCGCGCGAGTGGTAAGCGCGCCACTTGTCACTACACCACCTCCGCCCCGAAGAACCAAATGATCCGCCGAATTGGAAGAATGGGAAGACTGAAGATGGAAGACTTTACTAAGGCTGCGTTAATTTTTGGGAATCGGAGAATAGGAGAATTGGCGAATCAAGGTTCTGGGAGAATGCGCCCCAAGGGAGTGGATGGGTAGCGGCTGGTGCCGATCGATACCCATGAACCCTATTGACAAGCAATCTCCCAAAACGTCAATTTTCTGATTTCTCCCACTACTTCTGATTAACTGTGTTGAGCACTCTCTAACGAATAATTTGATCACTGACCTTTGGAAAAAGTCGCAATAACCGTCGAAAAAAAGTCTAAGTACCTGTACTTTCGAGTAATCTATCGGTACACTTGACTTTACAAATCCGCCACAGCTGTAGATGTCGGCTGAAACGCTCGCTACCAGGACTAGCCATAAAATCGCCGTCATCGCCGTCAATTGCCCAAGCTGAAAACCAGTCAAGAACAATTGTTATGGTTTTCTGAGTTTCAACAAGACAAGTAGCGAAGCATTACAAAGACAGAATGATAAAGAATGGGTACCTAGGTAAAAAGGGGAAAGGTATGAAATTTAGCATAGTATGGTGTAACGACTTGCTGTATATTTGCAAAGGTGAAGATATTTTGCTGACATAAGAACAGTCATAGGATCAGTTGGAATGAATGAATGGATGATTACAAGGAAATAGTTTGCTTTTTTTGCATGCGCCATCGAATGGAAACCAAGCGAAATGGAATCCTTCCTTTGTATTCGTCATGAAAGAAAGAAGGAAAACTGGATGGTCCTCAAGAAATGCATACAAATTAGAATACACAAGAACATTCAAAAACTCAAATGCAACATATTAAATGGGAGCGATGGTCACTAAAAACAAACTTAGAAGATTTCAGCAAACAAACGACTACGTTGATGAAATAAAGGAACTACAATATCTGCGTAGGAAGTCGGGATTTTGCAGGGTTAAGTAAGCAAAGATACAGAGCAAATAGAGAAAGCGCTATATGAACGCTCCTGTCTCCAATTTTGGTTGTTGGCCGCATAAAAATATTATATCTTACTGTAAAGAGTCAGTGCCGTAGCCGAAATTCTGACGCCTAACTTATTCTCGTCGCGGTGGTTTCCAAAGAAGCTCGATTGACTCGTGTGTCATATCTCGCTTTTGAGATTGGATTTGATTCGGTTGTGGCTCTTCAGTACCCTTAAATCCTGTGCTTGGTCTAAATTGCTCCATTTCTGCATCTGTAAAGCTTTACGCTGAACTCGGTCATATTTCTTTCAGTTGTCATTAATGTGATTTTGTTATCCTGGTGTTATTATTCGTAATAGCTAGCTTTTTTCACAAATGGAAGACGATACAGGCGGAACTGGAGGCTCTATTGGTTTGTTGTATAACTTTTGAAAGTTTATTATTGATTATTTGGCAATGTTGGAATTAATTGCACTGTTGTTTCACAATTTAGGTGGTCTAGGTTATTGGAAGCAGAATCTCTATTTGTTACAAGAACGAGCACCAAAGCCATTAGCTGTTAAGTGTAACAGGGTTATTGAGAATAGACCTCCACAATATGGCAGTGAATTCCACGGGCTCATTGATAGAGTCGAGGTTAGTTTCTGTTCTTTTTGCAGAGAATAGTAACATTCTAGGAATGGGGAGGAGTGTAGTTCCGTTTGGTTGTGTGTTTCGATCCAAAATAACATCTTTCGAGGAATAACCCACTTGAGACAGCTGTCATCCTTCCTGCGGTGGATGGAGACATGATTACAGTTGTCCTGGAACGGTTATATCCCACCAAAAGTGCAGCCGCTGACGTTCGCTCAATTCAAGTTTGCAGCCACGCCTACTCCTTTACCGGGATATTGAGTGTATTTGGTGTGAGCATGATCATGACAGATAGTATCGATTGGTCCTTCTGCTAGCCTTGTCGCGATTTTATTTGAGGCGCTTCGGAGACAAGTCAAACATCTCGTCGAGGAACAATAATAACTAGGGGGAGTATGGTCTGGTTCGCTGTGGGCGAAGGGGCGTGTCAGGCGGTATGAGTTCGTCGCGCTGTCAAACCCGTTCTCCAACAGTTGGAGCGAGCAGGTACAAGCCCGTATCACGTCGTTCGTATCTTTTGTTTTCTACTAGTTGTCGTTGTTGCATACCCGCTTCAACAACTGTCAAAGAACGGATTTTGACACTGTGGCACGCTCATGCTGTCTGAATGCTTCTTCATCCGCAGCGAACTAGAGCATACACTGTACTAGAGCACACGCTGTACTCCTTCTCCGAAGGAGGTTGTGGCGGTAGTATGGCGCGTTGGAAACGGAAAAAGTCAGCAATCAAAGAAACTTTCCGTGTAGCCATTTACGACCCTCCATTGAGCATTCCAAGACGTACGCTTGGCTCTGTTCTGAAGGCTGTTTTGTTCAGCTTTGAGCGATTTTGAGAAAGAAAGTTGGTCTGGTTACCAAGGTTGTACATTGCGTTACTGGAGAATCGAGGGAAGGATACGTATCGCTGGGTGGGGCCAGAGAGTTGAGGAGTCAGAGAATCCGCGTAGAATTTTGGATTCGTGTCGAATCCGGGAACCTGGAGTTCAGGGCACATCCTGTCGTTGGGGAAAATTCCTCAAAATAATGCAACACTCCTCAAAACTCTCTGCCCTGGTAAGTTCCTCCTCTTCCCCATCCCCCATCCCATGCTAAAGTCTCCCGTATCCATCCACTTTTTCGGAGATTTCCAGTTTGAAGGCTGGACAGGTGTGGGGATGGGAAAGGAGGACTCAGTGTCTATGTATCCATTCCATTTCGCAGAAGCTCCTCTTCTCCTCATAGATACGTATGCTTTTCTCTCCGTAGATTCTTCGATTCTCCAGTAGTGCAAGGTGTGAATGTGGCTTGACGCTCTCTACGCCTCTGGTTGGCTTTCCGTTCAGATAATGTCGGAATTGTTTGGAAACATAACACTGAAATCGAAGCGCTTTTTATCTTTTGTCTTCTTTGACTCGCATATGTCAGTTATTGCACGTTTAGCGAAATTATCTATGCTTTCGATCATTTATCGCCGACGGTGTTAAAGCTCTCATAATACAAAGAACCTCTATTGCTTTTCATTCGCATTGCTTCCATCCTCCCTTTGTGACATCTAGAGCTTCGAATAAATTAATATTTGATACAAATCGATTTCCCAATGGAGCTTTGTTGATGGTGATTTTGCCCACTAATCCTTACATCTGATGTTGCTTAGGCGGATCGAATGCTCATGGAGGCCGGTGAAGGAGCTTTTCTTGTTAGAGAATCTAAGCGATCTCAAGATGCGTTCACACTTTGTATGCTGTTCGATGGCCGTGTACTCAACTATAAGGTACGCCTTTTCATTCAAGTGATGCATTTTGAGATTTTTGTAAGATTTTTGTTAAATTATGTGCTTTTTTTAAACAACTTTTTACACTTTCAAGGAGCTGTCTTTCTTTCAAATGTGTAACTCAACGGTTACAATTGAATTCCTCATCTTTCGCACTTCAACTTTTTAAAGACAAGCTGTACAGTCATCCCCGAGTACGGTTCACCTCATGTGTGAGACGTATGGGTCCGCGGCTGCAATACCGTGTCACTTTCTCCGCTCAACATTGCACGAAATGAGTGGGGCTATAGGGTATTGGTGCCCGAGTGCCCCTCCATACTCAGCTTACGATATTGTCAAGGTGCAGCGCATGCGTCGATACCAAGGCCTTGCAGCGAAACACACAATCATTGGTAGGGCCAGAAATGAGACGGCGCAGACAAGTAGCGCGCTGGCATGTGTTTAGGCGTGTGCTTGGCCGCGCGCAGCGCGTGCAGGTATCAGGTAGCACAGTCAGGTATCACCACCCTCCAGCCCCCTGACCGTGCACTTTTGACCGGAGAGGAACAACTAATAATAGGTACGGCTTTTCATTCAAGTGATGCATTTTGAGATTTTTGTAAGATTTTTGTTAAATTATGTGCTTTTTTTAAACAACTTTTTACACTTTCAAGGAGCTGTCTTTCTTTCAAATGTGTAACTCAACGGTTACAATTGAATTCCTCATCTTTCGCACTTCAACTTTTTAAAGACAAGCTGTACAGTCATCCCCGAGTACGGTTCATCTCATGTGTGAGACGTATGGGTCCGCGGCTGCAATACCGTGTCACTTTCTCCGCTCAACATTGCACGAAATGAGTGGGGCTATAGGGTATTGGTGCCCGAGTGCCCCTCCATACTCAGCTTACGATATTGTCAAGGTGCAGCGCATGCGTCGATACCAAGGCCTTGCAGCGAAACACACAATCATTGGTAGGGCCAGAAATGAGACGGCGCAGACAAGTAGCGCGCTGGCATGTGTTTAGGCGTGTGCTTGGCCGCGCGCAGCGCGTGCAGGTATCAGGTAGCACAGTCAGGTATCACTACCCTCCAGCCCCGTGACCGTGCACTTTTGACCGGAGAAAGTGGTACGCTGCAATTGAGGATCCGTTCCCCGCATGCGAGGCAAGATCCAAGATCCACGGAGGGTACAGTTTGCCTTGAACAGACTGTACATGTTCCCAGGAAAGCTCCCTTGGAGACTCCCTCTCTTGTTTTCTCGGTGTATTGCTGACAGTTGAAGTGGAGATGGAAAAAGCAAATAGTACCACTTACCAGCCAAACGTTCTGAGGCTCAAATCTATGCCTGTCTCATTCTCAGGTCAATCAAGCCTTCTACCCTTAAGAGATCTAGTTAGTACCAGTTTTCTATGAGAGGCTAAAAGCTCTGTCGGTATTGGCTGGTCACCGTAAGGGCGCAGTTCGGCGGCGACGTAGGGGGGGGGGCATTTTGCACTTTCGATCCTTCACTAGTACCGCTTTAGAAGTTTCACCCTGGTGAAACCTGTGAAGCTGGAGCAGGCTCGTCTATCCACCATGGTAATACCAGTCAGCTCTTGTAAGATCATGAAATAGCAGTCTAGATGGCTCGGCACGTTGATGGGAAGTAGCAAAACTACAAATTATCCGGCCCTCGCCGCCGATTCCTTCCCCCCCCCCCTGCAAGTCATGTGGATCATGTATCGAAAAAGAACTACTTCCTCTTTACAGTCTCTCAGATCGAATTAGGTCAATATCGTTGAGGATTCAAATTTTTGTCCCAAGCACTATCATTGAGCTGTTCGTGGGCTGCGACGAATAGTCAGCACTTTTAGCTCATGCTGTAATATTTGCAGATGCATTTTGATTGCTTTGTGCGTAGGCGCTTTCATGACTTGTTTGAACTCGTTAAAACCATCAGGACTCTTCAGCAGTTCACAGGATATTTACGTGTCTTTTCGTGAATCAGTTGGATAAAACAAGTAAAACAAACAAAAGATTGGATGGGAGGGGTATTTCGCAATTATTCGCTTTACGAAAAAGAACGTCTCAAGGTTCATGATCGTTCCACTCGGCGGGGTGGAAACTTGCAATGGTTTTTTTTAGTTTATGACTTGCACATTACGGCCATGACTTGACTTTGTAATCCAATATCGTGACCGATGTGATAGTGCTGCAGAAGTTTGCGACTGGTCATGTATGGGTGTGCTGGTGCCCAGCCTTGATGACATTTTTATTATTCACTTCTCTTTATCCTCATTTAATTATTATTTTTCTCCATAAAACTTGCCGTTAACGCGAGGGTTGGCGGTATACTCGTGTCTTAATTTACGGTGAGCACTCAGATTCCAGTGTGTGGCGTAAGGGTATTGCTGCCGATTGGCGTAGGCTTTATGGGGGCATTTTGCTGATTTTTCAAGGAGCATGTTCATGATTCTCCTGGAAAGACTCTTTGGCGCAGTTCGGTTTGTGGGGCATTTCACTGATTTTCATCAATTATTGCTGACAGTTCCCGTGGAGACCTGTAACTCCTGTGAAACTGTGCAAAACCTGTTCTCTTCACAGTTGGCAAGAGTGTACAGGTCTCAACAAGATGAGACCTGTACTAGTTATTATCTGACACGAACTAGTATAAGAAACTAGCGAAAAAGCCAAGTGCCTACCCCCTTAGCCGACTTTTTGTTTGTTCTCCTCCTTTTTTACAATGAATTCTTGAGAGGGTAAATAACTGATTAAACTGCTAATAACCGCTCTTTTCAAATGCGAATGTTGTTAGTGCATGCCTTGGATACATAAATAAATGAAGCACTGATGCGCTGGTTAGGCGGAGGTGCTCTAGCGGCAAGTGGCGCGCTTACCACGAGTAAAAAGCCAGGTCGGCTCCCACCCAAGCTAATCAAGCCTTCTACTCTCCGGGGACGGTGAACCAATGGTACCAGATTGGTCTAGGAGGACAAGAACACTATCGTGTACATCGCTGTGCCCGCAAGTCAATGTGTAGGACACACCGCATTCAGAATGCAGCTACGATTTCGAATGGAGTTAGATTCGTGGCCAACTCCAAAAAGGGAATTATCAATGCTGAAGACATTATCCTTTCATCCTTTCACATTATCCGTCGCTTATATGCAACTGTGACACTTCAGCTTTACTACGACGGCACTCACTATGTGGGCGAAAAGCGGTTTGAAACTATGGAACTATTGGTAGCAGACGGATTGATCTCGATGTTCATGGATAAGCATGCGTCAGACTATATAAAAAGAATGGCCGACGAAGCAATCTATGAGCATAGGTGATTCTTATTAAAATCTAATAGTTGCGAGAAGC